TCATGGTTTTACCAAAATGCTTCACTGGATCCTGGGATTTCCTTCATCACCGCCCATACACATTTCCTCTCCAAAGTCTCTTAAACAACTGCGGCGCACTTTCAGGACTGGACCCCAAGTCCCGGAGTTCGTCGTGCGACAACAGAGGAGGCGACGCAACGGGCTCGTCGCGCCCACAGCCAGGCCACCTCGAGTCCCCGACGACGAGGGAGACGACGAGTGGACGCCCGAGAAGGAGAGATCTAGCAGGTAGGGCGAGGATTCCACTGGGCATAGGGAATGAGGACGCGTGCACACTCATTTTAGGAAGCTTATATAATGGAGATTAATTTTGTTGCAGGTATGCGAGCAAAAGTGGACACGTGGGCGGTGGAAGAAGAGGCGGTCTTAAGAGGAAGGCAGAGTGGAGTGCTCCAGCTTGGACCGGAAGGAGTGAGAACTACGATGATGCGCCGCTCAGTGTAGACCAAGTAGATGTTATACCGTTATGGACTCCAGCCAAGTTGGTGGCAGGTGCAAAGGGCACTGTCAAGGTTTGTCTTCGTGCCTTGTCTGTTTTTGCGTGATGCACTTCTCCCTTTTTTATCCAGATTCCGTGTCCGCTTCTATTTCTGTCTGGACATAAATGCATGAGTCCTGGAACATAAATGTTGCAAACAGTTTTAACTATTAGTGCGACTTTGTCGCTGGGTAGTTGTGCAGACTATAACCAATATCTTCTCGTGTAAGAATTAAACAATTATATCAGGATTGTCAAAACAGTTTATTTAGAAATGATATAAAATTATTGACTATTTGCAGCGTCGCCAAACTCAGTCATTCTAAAATATTTATTCTTTTATTACATGAAGAAATGATCTTTAAATATTCTTGAATTTTCCAGATAATGCCAACAACAGCCGACAGGTCAAGTGGAGATTCCGCTGCGGAAAATGTTAAGCCAGAGGACAAGGAGGTCTTTTTCCCATGTCACAGTTGGCAACAGTGAAAGAGCTTCCAGCTGAGAGTGAAACACTTGGTGTAGGATCAGATGAAGGGTCGGGGAAACAGCTGTTTTTCGGGAGAGAAGTCCAAGACGCGGTACCCACGACGTCGTAGCAGAAGGAAGCTGTTTTATGAAGAAAGCATTACTAAAGATGACGATTTTATTTGTAAGGAAAGAGCGTTTGAGTCATCTTCCTAGTTGTCGTTGCGTGGATTTTATAATCTTGGATTAATTTCACTTCACTTAATTAAATTATATACAATAGTTGTGCACTTACGATTGTACATGAGGTAGATAGATTCAGATACCATGAATTCTATTTGTCTGCAGATTGCGCAGACTGTGAAGAAGAGAAAGAGGGAGAGTGTCCGTACCATCCATTGTTCCTTATTCTAGATAACCCCGTAAGTGTGCCATTCATGTCGAACATAAAATGTCATGCTCTCATAACTTTGGTTAGATTGAAAATTGAACTGGTCACAGACAAACTGATAATCTTAGACACAAATGCACACGCACAGTTTTAAATAGCGTTATCGTCCCAATGGTATGTTTGGACAGGTTGTTCGAGACGGCAGCGAGAAAGATCGTGCTCGCCTCACAACCCCTTGGCCCCTCACTGTCTGCGACTCGAAAGTGAAGGGGGCAGGAAAAGGCGTGTGGACCAATGCTCATCTCCCAGCCCATCTTGTGTTTGGTCCGTATGAGGGCCGTGTCCTATCTGGCCATCCGGAAGCCGGTAAAGAATCTGGCTATGGCTGGAAGGTTAGTGTATTCTGTGGCGTAAACATATGATATTAGATGAATGTAACACTGAATGATTTTATTTGCGTTTTCTGTAAACCACCAAGTATTTTAAGAGAAAATCCACTTACGCAAAAAGTTGAAAATTCTTCACCTTCGTGTACTTCCAGATTCGAGGTACTGGAACAAGGAATACGTGCATTGATGCTGTAGACAGTGCAGTTAGTAACTGGATGCGTTACGTCAACTGTTCAAGAACTGAAGCTGAGACCAACCTATCTACATTTCAGTACAAGGGGCAGATCTACTACAAGACGGACTCTGCAATTAGCAGGTCAGTATAATTGTAGTGAAGTCAACTTTTCCTGATCATACGCCTGTGATAACGTGCACATTAATATTTAAAGATACAGACAAACAATGCCAAAATAATTGTGAACAGGGGGAGCGAGTTGATGTGCTGGTACGGAGACGATTACGGGAAGGATCTGGGTCTGTCAAGAGAGCCGTCCAAGTGGAAACCAGCGAAGAAAGATGTAAAAGGTACGCAAATACAATTTTCATAACCTAATTTCCCATTGTGAAGGAAAATGTATTCAGAAATTGTTGGAATACAATTGAGATTATATAAATTGATATTGTAAGTATAAAATAGTGTATTAGATGTGTGTACATATGTGTCTGCACATCTATAACATCAATGTATTTAAACACACACACACACACACGCACACGCACGCACACACACATGTATTATATATATATACATATACATAATAATATATATATATATATAGATAATATATGTATATACATACATACATACACATTTGCATACACTCGTGTGTGTGTGTATGTATATATATACACATGTATATATATGGTGAAAATATATATATATGTAAATAAATACTTACACATATAATGAAGGTTTTACGTTTTCAGATCGGCAGTGCGAATGGTGTGGCTTAGTCTACAGCTCGAAAGATTATCTAACGCGTCATCTAAAAGTGTGCAGAAAGCGTGTTCACACTTACACGCCGCCAATTTTCTCCACGCGAGGAAGCAGCAGCAGTAGTGGCTCAACCAAGCAGTGTTTGCGAGAAGAGGCGCCGCAATTCCCGGAAAAGGCGTCTCATGAGACACTGCGTTCGCCAGCATCCGATGAATATAAACTGAGTGTTCAGTTTGTGATTACAAGTGTGAATGTTCTGATATCCAAATCAACATGTGTTAATACACAGTGGAAAAAAACTGTTGGAGTGTTCTGAGAGTAGGAACAGATTTGCAGACAGTGATAAGCAGAAGGAAACCCAAAGAATTCTACCAGAGAAAGGCCGTTCGAGTGTTCCGAGTGTGGAAAAAGGTTTAGTGTAATCTGAAGACACACCGTTCACTCAGAGAAAAGCCGTTCGAGTGTTCCAATCTGAAGACACACCAGAGGGTTCACTCAGGAGAAAAGCCGTTCGAGTGTTCCGAGTGTGGAAAAAGGTTTAGTGAAAGTGGTTCTCTGAAGACACACCAGAGGTTCACTCAGGAGAAAAGCCGTTCGAGTGTTCCGAGTGTTTAGTAAGTGGTCATCTGAAGACACCAGAGGGGAGAAAAGCCGTTCGAGTGTTCCTCTGTCAGGAGAAAAGCCGTTCGAGTGTTCCGAGTGTGGAAAAAGGTTTAGTGTAATCTGAAGACACACCAGAGGGTTCACTCAGGAGAAAAGCCGTTCGAGTGTTCCACTGAGGAAAGCCGTTCGAGTGTTCTTCACTCAGGAGAAAAGCCGTTCGAGTGTTCCGAGTGTGGGGAAAGGTTTAGTCAAAGTGGTGAAGACACACCAGAGGGTTCACTCAGGAGAAAAGCCGTTCGAGTGTTCCGAGTGTGGAAAAAGGTTTAGTGGTTCTCTGAAGACACACCAGAGGATTCACTCAGGAGAAAAGCCGTTCGAGTGTTCGAAAATCTGGTTCACAAAGCCGTTCGAGAAAAAGTTTAGTGAAAGTGGTTCTCTGAAGACACACCAGAGGTTCACTCAGGAGAAAAGCCGTTCGAGTGTTCCGAGTGTGGAAAAAGGCGTCATCTGAAGACACCAGAGGTTCACTCAGGAGAAAAGCCGTTCGAGTGTTCGAGTGTGGAAAAAGGTTTAGTGAAGTGTATCTGAAGACACACCAGAGGGTTCACTCAGGAGAAAAGCCGTTCGAGTGTTCCGAGTGTGAAAAGGTTTAGTCAAAGTGGTCTCTGAAGACACACCAGATTCACTCAGGAGAAAAGCCGTTCGAGTGTTCCGTTCTCTGAAGACACACCAGAGGGTTCACTCAGGAGAAAAGCCGTTCGAGTGTTCCGAGTGTGGGAAAAATTTAATCAAAGTAGTAATCTGAAAACACACCAGAAGAGCCACAGAGTGCGCTGAATTATTTGTCTCACCTGTACATTTTTTTTAGATGTGAGACTGAAATAAAAAAGGACATGGAAATATTTTTGTCTTTTTTATTTTTGTACGCCAAATGAAGGCCTCAGCAGACCTGTTTTATTGATTTTATTTTACTCAGTACGACTTTCTGAAAACATTTATACATTTTTTTTTCCAATCCTCTATGTTGGAAGGATAGTTATTAATGAATTTAATGAATATCAATAAAAACGAAACCGCCAACTCTTGAGATAGTTTGTTACTTATTTCCCTATTTTTATCTCAGAAAGAATTGATTTATATGTATATATACATATGCTACACAATGTTTAATCCTACATATTCGTTTAAACATAATCACGTAGTAATGCTAGTAGAAGCGAAGACTTCAATTCACTGAATATGATGAGTTTTGATATCCATGATTTTTTGGCGGGAAATCTTTGACCGTGACGTCATACTCAAGCACCTGTGAATCGCAAACCTTTCAAGCACAACAAAAGATTAAACTTTTGCTATGGAATTATATTATTTCTTTAATTGTTATATCTAGAGACAATTCTGCAATATTTCTCGCGGAATTGTGAATATGGCGAAAAAACAGATCACGCCTTGAACTGGCCGATTGATCGTGAATAAGTTGCCGAAGGCATGTTAAAACATGCTTTGCACATTATTATTTTCATGAATTTTACTGTTGTTATTATCATTATAATCAATAATTTCGTTCGTATTATTATATCAACATCATTATCATTACCATTACCACTTTCAAT